AGGCAGCTCCTGCCCCATCCCCAGCCTTGTGGGTGGGGCTGGTTCCCTAAGTGGAGAGAGCAAAGCATTATCTTCCCAGGGGAAGAAGGGAGAGGGCTGCGTTATGATTAATGGCCAGAGGCAGGCCAGGGGAGGGAGAGCCTGGCTGTAGCCCTCTTTGTGTCTTGGCTCAGCATCAGCGCAGAACTCAGGAGGGACCGGCCTCCTTCCCCTCAGATCTTTGCTTCCTGCCCCAAAAGGCCATTTTGGAAGCTGCCATGTTGGGAAGTATGGCCAGCCGGTCCCCTCTCAGTTACCCCACACTCAGGCACCAGAGCAGAGACCAAGACACCCCGAGGTGGGTCATCCAGATGCTGTTCCTGTTAACTCTAGATGCTTCTGTGCTAAGAAAGCCACACCATGGTGAAGACCCAGGGAGGGCCGTAAAGTGGTCAGTAGCCCAACCTCCTGCACCCTCTATGTGAGGATGAGACCACTCGACCCTCCCCGAGTTTCCTTGGGAGCAGATGAGGTGGCCGCACGTGGGCTTCCCTGTCTGGACCTCACCCTGTGTGCCAAAGAGTAAAGATAGGCAGTCCAAGATGCCAGCAGAGCAAGTGATGAAGCCGGAGGGGGTGGTGGTGTCAGGGTCTGCCAAGCTGGATGGTGAGCCCATGAAACAGAGGCCAGGTGGTCAGCTTCCCTGGCTCCAGACACGCCTGTGTTCAACATGTTGTCAGCCTCTCCTCACTGCCCCTCCTGGGGGCGTGGGTTGAGCGACTCCCCTGCTATGTGGTAAAGGTTCAGAGTTAGATGCCCACAAAGGAGGCCTTTCATCAACAAGTATTATATTTATTGCAGACCAGCTTTGTGCAAGGCAGTGCTAGTACATGGCTCTCCAGCGAGCTCTCCTAGGCCCTCCCCTCCCCGCCCCCATCCACACTGGGCCTTCTCCTAGAGTGTGCTAGGGGGCAGCAGCCGGGGTGACACAGCACAAACCCAGAGATTGTCAACAGGATCTTGACCATCTATGTCCCACCAGATGGCCCCTGCACCTAGCCTTTTGCCAGACAGAGACCTGGCTCACCATGTCCTCTCGAGCAGCTGGGAATTGGTTATTGCCACACATGGCTCTCTTGAGCGCCATACCTCTTGGAAGAACCCTCCAGAAGCATACCAGAAACCATCTCTGGAAAGGGCTCATATGTTGGTAAGGCAAAAAATATATGTCAGTGGCCAAACCGCCATGAGACTGAAGTCTTTGTGAAAGCTACTGCTACACGTGGCCCTTTTTCCAAAGATCTCACTCAGGAAGGGAGGCTCCATGCAACCTCAGGGGCCAGTTTCAGCATTTTAAGATGGTTCCACTTGGAAAATGATTCCCTGCAACTAATCCTGGTCCTTCTCTCTGTGATTTAACCAAATTCTGAAGGCACTGCCTTCAGCTGAGCTCACGAACAATGAGTGCCAACCTGCAGATTCTGGAAGATTGGTTGCCCTCCCAAGGCTTTATTCTATTATGATATTGCTATTAATATATTATAATTTTGCTATGGATGTAACTTGGTTATGAATTTGTACTGTCATCTGTATCCATCAGAGAGCCTATAGAACCTGCACTTTCTGGCCAGAGGAAATGCCCATGCCCCAACCACAGGGGCGCATGGTCTTGGGGATCGGAGGTAACGCCACTCTCTACCCATCACCCTGGTTCAGAGCAGGCAGCAGGCGCTTGTTGTTCCTTCAGTGAAGTTCTGCAGATAACCGTCAAAGGCCCACAGTGCTTGGCTCTCAGGAGGCCTGATCCCTGCCTTGAGTTTATATCCACAAGTGGAGTGGAGCACCAATAGCTAAGTCCGTGATACAAATCAGAATTAATATCATAATCATCTTTGGTCACTTGGTCACAGCCATCCTACCACCTCCCACAGCAAATCTTTTCTGACGGCCTGCAGAGAATACAATGGTGTCGCCTTCATTTCACTTCTAGAGCAAACACTTCCAAAGCTGAGCAAACTTCCTTGAGTTCTGGACGCTCATAGAGGATGTGGTTAAAACACAGCTTCCCAACCCTTCCAGCCAGTCCCCGAGTCTGTGGGAGTGGCACCTGTGACTGGCCTCTCCTGTGAGGCCGATGTGGGTGGTCCCTACACCCTGGTGGTGGGTCATCAGTGCAGCAGAAACTTGGCGACACCCACTTGTGCTTAGGCCACTGAGAACTTTACAGACTCTGTCGGCCTTTGGTAAGGAAAAAATGACAATGGAAGGGGGGCCTGTTAATCTGATTTCCTGGGTGGCTGCCGTCAGGAGCCGGCAGGCATGAAGAATAGAGCTCACCGTTCTGTTAAGAGCATACTACGTACTAAAAGTGGGACTCTCACCCTCCCAGCTTGAGTGTGCAAAAAAATGGCACAATTATTCTCCAAATCAGTTATGTTTGTGCTCTAGCTGTCATCCTGCTGGCTGGCTGGAAAGTAGCATCGACCATCCTTGATGGTCTGGCCCCAAAGGCATCCACAGTCCCTTGGGTCCTGCCGCTATGAGTCTTTGGTCCCTTCCCAGGCTGAGGCTCCCTACTTGCTCTGCTTCCCCCTGAGCCTGGAAACTGTGCAGTGGCCAGATGCAGGGCTAGGCCCTCCCCCACCCAGCCCTCTGTTCCACTCCTCTGCCAGCATAATCCAGCCCCTCAGGGGCTGAACAAAAAAAGCCAGGAAAGAAAGAGTCTATAGGAAATTTTTACCTCATCCTTCCTGGAACTTCTTAGCACAGGAGTGGGAAAATGCAGTGAAAATCAAATACCGTATCTCCACGAATTATCCCTTTGGCCTAAAGCCCTCTGGGGTGATCCTCACCATAGCCCCATGAGGGAGGCCAGACTGGTCTGAAGGCCCCAACTGAAGATGAGGAATCTGAAATTGAGGAAATCATTGTGGCCCACTTCACCCAAATGACACCTAGCTGGGTCTGGACTCAAACCAGGCTGTCCAGATCTTTCTCCTCCAGACTCAGCTGCAGGCCCAGCCTCCATACTGAGATATTCTGAAATAGGGGGAGGCCCGTCTATTCCCACTGAAATTCACTAGCCCGTGGAGGGAGGTGGGGAATCTATTGAGGGCTATGTAAGGTGGGATGGAGGTGGGGAGGACCAGGTACGATGTCATTTACCCCACCTGCAAGTAGCAAGAACATTACACGTGCTCATTGCACAGGGCTGGTTTCACCTGATAAGACCATGAGCGGAGAGTCGCAGAGAAAATGGACAAAGAGGAAAAAGCTTTCAGGAGAAAAGGCCCTGAGAGAGTGGCACACAGACAGACCTTCAAGGGAACATCCCCACCTGGTGACAGGTTAGCAGATTCTCAGTTAGGAAACAAAGCCACATTGTCATCTTCTCCAACCAGCAAAGCAGGGGGGGGGGGGGTTGAATCCATCTGTCTCAGATTGTTATTAAAATATCATATTACAGCTCCCGGAGTGATGAGATTGGCAGGGGCTCCGTGTGTGTGTGTGTGTGTGTGTGTGTGTGTGTGTGTGTGTCAGAGAGACAGAGACAGAGAAACCCTGCAAATCCAAAGGAGAAATCCTCTTTTCCAACCACAGGAACCACATACCTGGGGAAAATGTCCATCTCCTGGCAATAGCACCCGATTCATTATAACCTTTCCTCAGAGATTAAATATGTAAAGAGGCCCCGGACAAGCCCTTGGCAAATTGTAAGTGAGAGAAAGTTTTTTTCCCACGACACACCCTGCCATTCATCCCCACACGACACAGGGGTCACCCCAGCTTGCTGAAGCCCCTGGCCCCCCTCCCCAAGGCACTGCCGCACCGTGATGTCAATAACAGTGACTAAAATGTGCGGGGATCTTGCGGCCAGCCGCCCATCTCACCCGCTCCTCTAATTGCAATTGCAATTCAGGCAGGATAGGCAGGGCCGGGCTGTGGTAACCGCCCCGTCTGTCACGTGACACAAAGGGCGCTCCTCTCCTGCTCACCCAAAGTCTACTGCGGGTCTGGGTGGCTCTCCAGGGCAGTGGCTCCACCGTGCAATCTGCTTGGATGCCAAGGTCCCTCCATTTCATAACATGCCACCAGAATTGACGAGGCAGGGCCAGAAAGTCCTTAGAGGTCTCGCACTGGTAAGTCTGGGTTCTGGCCCCAGGGTGACCGGCTCCATCTCTGCTCCCAGCCTGTTGGCCAGTAGGTGCATGTCCTTGCCCAACTGCCACAGGGGTGGGGAAAGCTAATCCTGTGAGCTCAGAAGAAACAAAAAGCAGGTACGGACAGTGCTAGAATCCTCTACCACTGGAGGCGAATCTGGGGGACATGGGTGCTCTTGGACACTTAAGCCAGCTTCATCAGGCTGTTGGGAAGGGGGATTTCCCAAGGAGGCAGCAACCATGCTGGCTCTGAAAGGGGTTGGGACGATTTCTAGGCAAGGCCCAGCCCACAGGCAGTTTGCAGGGGGGTGGGGAGGTGGGGAAGGAAGCAGAGGAGATGGAGCTGGGGCAGCAGCTGAGAGAGATGCAGGGCCTAGGAAGGTTCTCTTGAGATGGGAGAGGTTTGCTGGGGAGGCTGAGAAGCCAACGAGAAGTATAGCTGTTTGAGCGACCCTGGGAAGGAAGAGGGGATGAGCCGATACACTCTGGAGGAACCTCACCCCGAGCTTCCACCAGCCCTGGAAGGCCAGTATGGCTAGTCCTAACCTCGGAATGGAGAAACAAGGCCCCTTCTAGCTGTCACTTGTGCCTCCATTTATTCATTTAGTACCTGATGCAAATGAGGACCAGAGATGACAAACACGTGGTCCCTATCCTTCAGGGGCATATTAGGAGCCAGAATAAGACCTTAACAGAGGGCAGGGTTCAAGTGCTATGAGCTCATCGGGTTGAGAGATCAGAGAAGGGGGTTGATCCAGGTCTTGGAGGATGGACTAGATCTCAAGAGACTCCAAGGTGCAAAGAAAGACATTCCAGGCAAAGGGAAGGAAGCAGGAAAACCTGGGTAAGCTCTGAGAAACCATGGACACAGGACTCACAAAGGAGATCAGACATAAGGCCTGGAGAGGCAGTTGGATCCAGGCTCAGAGGCTCCTGGAGGGTCTTGAGGGCTGGCTTACACCAGGCTGTGAGTGGTGGGGCCAGCTGGGTCCTGGCTCCTGGGTCAGGGCCTGGGAGAAGGGCCTCAGAGCTCCAGCCAACCAATCCCAGGAAGGTGCTCCTAGCTCAGGGTCTCCTCCTGGAGTCTACACTGGAAAGGGGCTCCTGAGTGAGCCATGCTATACCCTCAGGGGGCTGTCCTTTCTGTACTCTGAGCACACACCAACCCTGCCCCACACATTCACAGGGAGCCCCCACCCCGTGTGCTTGAAGGAGACACCCATTTGCAGCCTCCCTCTTGGCCAGTGCTCCAAGGCTGCCCCAGCCGAGGGTGGGGTGGAAGCTGCTCTGTCCCCACTCTTTCCCTCCCACCTCCTCTCTCTGACCATCTGGGCCCTGGAGCCCCAGGCTTGGAGCTGGGATTAGAGAGGCTCAGTCTCAGAGCCAAATAAAGCAACTAATTTAAGTCCCCCCGTGTTGCCAACCCCTTTCTCTTTACTCTGCGGTCCATCAGTGTGAGATACAAGAGGTATCCACTTTTACAGACACCAAATCCATAAAAGTGACCTCAGAGGTCCTGGATAGGGACCAACATTTGTTTAAACCTTGGTCCTCATTTCACCTCACTACCCCCAGTTTACAGAAGAGAAACAGGGATGGCTAGATGAAACAGAAGCTCTCCCTTTGGGTCCACCATGGGAAAGGACCCAGGCCGATTTCCCTCTGTTTCTGTCCGGCTCCTTGACCCAGGCAGCCTCTCCAGACACACTGAGATTACAGAAGGGCTCTTGAAGCGCAGAGTTCCAATAGCTCAGGAGTGTTGAGCGCTCAGACACCGTCCCAAGTGCTTTAGACAGGTTTGCACCTTGAATCATCACTGCAGCCCTGTAAGATGCAATCATCATGCCATTTCACAGACGAGGAGCCTGAGGCGCGGCGCACCGCGGTCTTGGGTGCTTTTCTCTCCTTTGCAGTGAGGTGCGGGCGCGCGCCGGGAAGGCGGGCGCTGCGGGCTGCGGGCTGCGGGAGCGGCGCCCCGCTGCGGCCGCGGGAGCCAGTCTAAGTGGCGGCCGGCCACCAGAGGGCGCGTCCGTCCCTGGGCCCGGGCCCCAGCAGGCGCCCCGACGAGGTACCACGCCCCGTGGACGCCAGGGACGCGCGGCCCCGCCGGCTCCGCGCCGCGATGGGGCACTCTGCCCGGGTTCCGGCCGCGCAGCTGCCCCGCGCCGCCCCGCGCCGCCCCGCCCCGGCGCCCTTGGTCCTGCCGCCCTCCTCGCGCCCACCCCCCACCCCCCCCACCGCCTACACCGGCCGCCGCAAAGCGGCCCGCGGTCTGGGCACCGGCTCACAGATCGTGGCCTTGAGGAGATGTCCCTCTCTCCCGCTCCGCGACAAAGCACCATTTAGTCTGTTTATCTGTATTTTCAGCACGAATGTGTAGTGAACCCATTAAAGAACCAGGAAACCAAAGGAAAAGATGCCGGGAAGCTCCAAAAAGGCACATACGGCTTCCCGACTCTCTCTGACCTCCTGTGAGCAGAGCGGCCACCCAGCCCGCAATGTGGGGTCTTCACAGCCTCTCCACAGCGTCGCCCTCTGGGGACCACCATTCCGCGGCTGCAGGGGGCTCAGGTCCCTCTGACCCCTCTTTCCTCCGGTCCCCGGAGCCCCTCCTACCTAGGGCCTGGCCCTGAAATAGGAGCGAGCATCAGAGAGAAAGCTGTGTCTGTGTCCTGGGCCTCTCCACTTGGGGAGTGTTCCAACTGCCCATCCTGTGGAATCAGGCATCCAGCAAGTACTGGGCACCAGACCTGTGGCGTGAACAAGACAAACAGAACCCCTTCCCCCTTGGAATTTACAATTGGGGAATTGGGGAAGCAAGAGAGACATAACCAAGGAGGCACACAAATTGCATGGCAACTGCTAATAATCTGTTACAGGTGCAGCAGTGCCGTGAAGAAGTGCAGACAGACAGATGGATACCTGCATCGGACTGCAGGGGGAAGGGCAGGCGTGGGGTGCTACCCCAAAGCCAAAGCCGAGAGAGGCCAGTTCTCTGGCAGATCGGAGTGGGGGCGGGGCAGGAGTAGAGTCGGTGAACTCCCGCTGAATCTTGAAGGGTTGGGCAAGTTTGTTGAGCAAGGTCTCAGAATGGGGGTGTTCTGGGCAGACGGGAGCTGCAGGAGTCAAGGCTCAGAGGTGAAAAAGCTTGGGTATGTTTGTCTGGAAAGCAGGGGCAGGTAGTGCATATTACAAGTTGCCGGAGCGCAATGGGTGGGCGTTGTACCACGCACATCTCCTTTAACAACTGGATGCTGCCTGTGGGTAATGGGAAGGCACTGACAGCTTTTTAACAGAGGCAAGATACAACCAGGTTTCTGGGTTATTTAGTAAAAGCCCGCTGGGGCTGCAAGTGTACTTGGGAAGGGGAGCCTGTCTGGCAAAGGTGGGTTCTACGGAAGGAGGCCTTGTCATTATGGCTGCTGGGGGAACCAGCGCGGGACACGATCAGAGCTGGGATGCTCCAGTGGGTCCAGAGTTGAGGGAAGGGCCAGTGATCAGCAGAGCACCCCAGGCCCCCACAGGCTCGCAGCAGCCAGGCTGTGTGCCCCTGGAGTACTGGAACTGATCCAAGCTCCACAATGCACCTTGTAAGAAAGCAGATGTTCCGAGCCAACCGTGTCTGGGTTCTGATAGGCCCACAGGACATTTACGTTTTCCAGTTAGCTGCAAACGTCGGGAGTGTTTGAATTTTGGATTTTCTCTTGAAAAAACCCCTGGGCCAGCACTCCTGCGGGATGACAAGGGGCTGGAGCTGAGTACAGCGCACTCCTTCAGATGGTCCCTTTACTCCTAGGGTTGTTGTGGCCCCCACATCACCGGCTTAGTCCCTGTGGGTATTTAAATTTCCACGCATACACACACCCTGAAAGAGTCCAGCTGAGCCACTGAAAATCCAGGAGAGTGTCGGAAAACGCCTGAAGGGCGGTGCTTGAGAAATAAGGAGCAGGTGGAGGTCTGCCGGCGGGGGGGCGCTAGAGAGTGGCGTCCGAACTGAAGTCCCGGTCTCTGCCCGGACCTCCTCGCCCTGACTCTCCCACCGTTCTTCATGGCACGCGAGCCTTCTGGCTAATCAGACGCAGAAGAAAATAAGCGAGGAAAGCTTAGGAACTGGGGAGGCACGAGGGGAGGCTTCCGTGGTTGTAGCTATGTTCTGCTTCTGGAATTCGTGGAGGGTCCATGGTTTGGGGAGAATTCATTGAGCTTTATGTCCTGTGTCTTCTAGTTTGCAGAATGAAGTGCCAGCATGTCACGCATGTATCTCAGTCGGGCACCGCTGCGGTCGCACCATCACCCGGGGGGGGGGGGGTCTTCCTCAAAGTAAAACTCACATTTCAGATTTGATTTTACCAAGGTTGGCTTACTTAGTGGTTCTGAGTAAATTTTAGGTTTACACACCGCGTAGGGTTTTATTGTACAATAACATTTTACCATCTTTTTAAGCAAATGGTCTTTGTATTAAAATGCCCTCAAATGGAAAGCCTTTCCCATTATAAAACTTTTACCAATTTACTTTCATATTTATTATTTTTTTTAACGAGGGCCGATATTACCATGTTGCAAGGCACCACCTGTCCTGCGATTTGAGACAGAGATGGCTTTGAGCCAAAATTCTGATTTGTTTTTAACTTAATAAAATAAAGAAAATAAGTGACTTTTTTATTCCCCACTTTCTCAGTCTGCATTGTCTGATAACGGCAGAAAACAAATTATGTGAGAAAAAATAGGATTATCATTTTTAACATTCAGCATAAATTGTAATAACACTTTAATCTTTATTGTTTGAAAGTCATCTGGGACTTAAAACGTTATAATTAATGGCTTTCTACCCCAAAATAGCTTCATATGTTTGTTCTCTCTTGTCAGAGCACAATATTTACTTGTTAAATGGAAACATAATTATTAATAATTTAATTTTATACCCACAAGCTACCTATTTCAAGAGCAAAGTTTTTGTTTTTGTTTTTTATAAAGACTGTTCCCTACCCATGAATTTTTAAAACTCATTTAACATGCTTACACACATCTTAGAGTTTTAAAATCACACTTCACTTGGCTTTCTATAAGATTGCAAAGATGGGCCCCCTGGGACTGTAGGGACACATGGGGGGCAGGGAGAAAGAAGAAATGTTCATCAAGCCTTTGGTTGTTAAGACAATGAGTCAGGAATCCACAAATCACTGTACTGTTTATCTAAATACCCCTGGAATATTATTCCACGTCTCTGAGTAGATAACCTCATATGGCCATGATTCATATGTGCTGAGTGAGAATCCCTAGAGACACACCCTCCTGTCACCTCCCACTTCACTCTGTTCGTGGGGAGGATCTTTCACACTTAAACAATGGAACAGAGGTACTCAACCCAGTGCTAGAAGGGCTTCTCAACCCACACGACTTAGTCAAGTAGGGAGATTTTCTGGGGTGTGAAGCAGAAGGTGCCATCCCGAGTGGGGGTTACACACCCTGACACATACACAGCAGGCACCTCCTTTTTGTTCTGGCTCCTAAATTGTGGGCCCTATTGTTGAAATGCGAATGATGCCCCATACAAATGCCCTGTGCACAGTTAAGAAAAGGAAGGAGACAATGTGGTCAGAACTGACTCCTGTTGAAACAAGTTGGAGCTAGAAGCACGAGAGTCCTAGACTGGCCATTTGTGCATCAGTACACCCCCTTCTGCCTTCCTGTCCCTACCAAGGATCCAAAACAGCAAACACTCAAGCCAGCCAGCATGGGTGTCTTCTCTGACTGAAGCTTTATCCTCTAGCTGCAGAGAGGCCTCACAAAGGGAGGCCTGAGGAAAGCCTGACCCTCTGCCTTGGCCTGGGGCAGCGATGGAAACCTCCCAGGTGGGGGATTCCAAATTCAGATGGGAGTACGGTCGTGCATTCCCAGACTTGAGATGGAAACCTGAATTTCTAGTATGAGGAGAGAGAAACTTTTCTAGCTTTCTTAGTCTTACCACCTACGGTAAGCTGCATGTTGGCCCCCAAAGATATGTCCATGCCCCTGGAACCTGTGAATGTTGCTTTATATGGCAAAGACTTTGCAGATGTCATTTAAGGATCTTAAAATGGGGAGATTACCCTAGATTATCTGGGCAGACCCTTAAATACCATCACAAGTGTCTGTATAAGAGGGAGGTAGAAGATCACACACAGAAGAGAAGGCAATGGGAAGAAGCAAGGAAGTGTCCCCGAGAATCTCCAGAGACAGCACAGCCCTACCAACGTCTTCATGTCAACCTACTTTCAGACTTCTGGCCTCTAGAACTGTAAAGATAGATTTCCATTCTCCTCTGTTGGTCAGAACAAAGTCTGACCAAAGTGGTGGTCATTTGTTACAGCAGCTATGATAGGAAGCTAGTGTACTCCCTCTCAGCCAGAACCCTAAATTCACCTT